TCAAAATTTCTCATTGGTACAACTGAAGAGAAAAAACAAATTGCTACATTATTCGATCAAGCTTTTCATCAACATGGTGTTATTCGATTAATCAATGCTAATATTACTTCAGCTATAATCGATAAAACAAAAGAATTTTTTGCCTTGGATGAAAAACTAAAACTAAAATATTATGGCAATGGTTCATATTATGGAACACCGGGATATAAACCACCAGGTTTAGAGGCTGTTGGAAACTATAAAGGAGACAAAAAAACAGCACCTACGGATTCTAACGAAATCTATTTTACATTTTTCAAAGCTCAATCAAAAGAAATTGATCCATCTATTGATCAATTACCTGATGTGTTTCGTCAGGCGGTACCAGAATACATTCTCAAAGGACGACAACTTATTTCTGATGTTCATCAGATTGCTGATTTAGCATTGGAATTAAATGAAAACATTCTGGATAAAAATTATACGAGTGATCATGCTACGTTTACATTAAGATTAGCTAAATATTATCCACCGAAACATGATGAGCCATTATCCTTGGGAGAACATCAAGATTATCTTGGATTTACATTAATACACAATGATGATGTACCAGGTAATTGATAACTGCGAGATTTGGGTAGATATGAGAATCTTACTCTTCTTGTTGAATATTTAGGTTTAGAAGTGAATGTCAACGGACGATGGTTTGGTGTCGAATCGAAACCTAAGACTATAATAGTCGTTGGTGGTGAATTTATTCAAAGGTGGACAAATGATTATTGGATATCAGTCTTACATCGGGTGGGAGCGGTACATCAATTAAGGTATTCGGCATTATTGTTTAGTGGACCTGATATGAATTCTGTGATTGATACATTACCATGCGAAAAATGTACACTAGAACCATCAAAATATCCTCCAATTACTGTATATGAACATATGGAAAAACGAAATGCCGCTGCAGCACGTAACTAATATGGTCATTTTAGAGACACTTTTCCATTCATTCATTTGTTGTTTCTTGTATTTCAAAGATGATGAATAAATCTTGATCATAGAAAACTAATGTAGAAAAGGTAGTACAAACTTTATAGAGCAATAGATTACTCTTGCAGGTACACCATAGATCATAATTTTGTATGCATATTATCAAAAATGCTTCATTTTGTTTTAGAATAGGCAGTGAATTGTATGCTATTTATTTTGCATTAAAATAACTACTAGTGATAAGTGTCTGTTGATTATAACGCGAAAATTTTGCATTTTCATCAGTGGATTTCAGGGAAAGAAGAGGACGGTTTTTTCTCTGCTCATGAAAAGAATTATTACACTCGTTTTTTTTTTATCTACGCTCAAGTCAATTTCTTACAGAACGAAAAAATGTAGATGAGTCGACAAAATATGAAAAGACGTTATAACGGGTGGGCCATAAAGAATGATGGTCTCTATTTTCTGAATATTTCTCAGTTAATTTCCATTATATGGACGAATGGTCGCTTCCTGAAAGATTCACCACGAAATTGTGCGCAAAACGGTACCATTTCACTGTATAAAAATCTTTTCTTTCAGCTCTCGATAAGAGATGATTCAAGATCAACAATCACTCTCACTTTCCGAATTTTCTTGCTTTTCAAATATTCTTCAAGAATGTCTTTCTCCGTCCGTTGTGAATAATTCTTTTTCATTTTGTTCAAAGACGTCCTTCACTGACTGCTTTTATGAGTATTCACTAACAATTTGCTGTTTGCAACCAATTCTCTCATGAATTGTTTAGAAGAATCTTATTCTAGTATAATTATGTGGGTATGCTGAAGAAATCAAGGAAAAGACATTCTTGAAGAATGTTTGAAAAGCAAGAAAATTCGGGAAGTGAGAGTGATTGTTGATCTTGAATCATCTCTTATCGAGAGCTGAAAGAAAAGATTTTTATACAGTGAAATGGTACCGTTTTGCGCACAATTTCGTGGTGAATCTTTCAGGAAGCGACCATTCGTCCATATAATGGAAATTAACTGAGAAATATTCAGAAAATAGAGACCATCATTCTTTATGGCCCACCCGTTAACTTTTATTGATCAAATTATATCTGTCTACAGTTGTGTACTACATCAACGGCATTTTTTCTATACCAATATCTCTTTTTATTGTCATCGTGCAATATACTTACAGTTAAGGGTACTTCCTTCTAACCTCGATTTCTCGAAAATAACTGAGCGAAAATTGATGAAACATTGGTAGATTATAGATCTCGATCAGTAGAGTAGAATCTCTCTAACATGAATTTCATGTGTATTGATAGTTGGTCACTGAGAAACAGAGCGGTGATTGTGAATGGACATCTTATGCTAGTGACCTCTTTGTGGTCGTCTGCATGATGGTGACTGGGGAACAGGGAGATCTTATTGGAAAACAATATCCTATCGTTGTTGATGGGCGACGTTTCTGCATTACAGTGTGAAGATAGCAGCTCTTGTCAAAACACTCCATAGGATTACGTTACAATGAGAAGACTATAGATATAGTGCATATTGGGCAACATAAATGGGTAGAAGAGAATGAAGTTTGCATAGAAGTGATCAGAAAGCATTACACAAGAATTGTTTCGGCTGTCGCTAGAATCAGTCATGTTCTAGAATCAAATCGACCTAGATGTCAAGAAAAGAATCAACAAAATTGCAAAAAAATGAAGAATAAAAATGGAATAACATGTATTATGCTTACGCTTCTAGGATACAAAGACCATAGTTATGTGCCTGCGGATGATCTTGAAGACTTTGTTCCCAAATACCGCACTATTGCTGTTCTCGACTCGTCGTCTCCAATTGTTTGGCAAAAAATTCTTTTATTTTATCGATTATAGCTGAAGTAATATTAGCATTGATTAATCGAATAACACCATGTTGATGAAAAGCTTGATCGAATAATGTAGCAATTTGTTTTTTCTCTTCAGTTGTACCAATGAGAAATTTTGA